CTGTCTTCTCTCTCTCTCATTCACTTCTCCTCCGCTGATCCGCTCAGATCAAAGAGGACCTGTCTTGTCCCTCTGCAGCGAGAGGCAAGGGAGGATGAAAAAAGAAAAGAAAAGCACCAGAGGATGAGAGCAGTCGTCCCAGGGAGCTTTTACAGGTTTTTTGGAGGGAAACAGCGTCAGATCAGGGCTTTTGATCAGGGCCAGAAACTCAAAGGCAATGCTGAGCTCCAGGGCCAAAGCCTGCTTGCCAGCCAGCTCACAATATACAGGAGCTGTTTATCTAGAGGACTAACAAATGGTCACAAAGAAACTATACACACACACACACCATACACACAAAGGAAGTGCTAACTCTCACAGCAATAGTCAAAGTCCTTCCCCACCGAGTGATGAGACAGCCAAACCCGCTACAGAGCTCCGATGACGGAGCTTAAAAACCGCGCTATACAACACAGAGGGCAGCTTGGCAGCGTCCCAAAGGTGGCTTTGAATCTAAAGGTTCACCTGGAGTTCAGAGTAAACTGTGTGGTGACTGGTTAATAGCTAAAGCCTAGTGTGTTTCCTCAGTGTGGAAGCTGGTACAGGCTAAGATGCAGTATAACTGTAACAACAAGTAATCTAATCTTTTTAAGTTCCTTGGTCAAAACTTCCCATCCTTGCCTCCAAAAGTAGGGTTTTGCCTAAACAATCTTTTAACATGCTGCTATGAGCTTAATTAGCTAATTATGACATCCTGATGACAAATCCAGCAGGTTTGGGGGAAACTACAAAACCACATTGCTCCCATTAAAATGAAAAAGCTATCTAGACTCAACTGTATTGCTATCAAGATATATTTAAAAACACTGCCATATGACCTCTGTATGTGTACATACAGTATATGATGACAAAAAAAATATTTAAAAAAAGGGTGCCATATCGAATTCCAGAGTTTCCAGTCACGGTACAATTTAACTCCTGACTATGAGGCAACAATAACACCTCAAACACCTAGCCAATCATATCTCTCCTTGACTGACCTTTGATCCACACAAATATGAGCGGACCACATTCAAGCATGTATACGCTGCCTGTAAACGTTGTTTGTAAAGGAATCTGACCTGTTGCTGCCTCTCGATGATGACCTTCAATTCACAGTCAAATGATTCGATTTTCTTTTGCCTAAAACCTATATAAGAATCTTGATCCCCAAGCAGATGCTTTCATTACAACAACAGGAGATGGAATATCAGCTTAAAAACCTTATCTGATTTTTGACAATCAATCTTTTAAAATGCTACTATGAGTTTAAGTAGCAAATTACAACCTTCAATTTACAGTCAAATGACTCAATAAAAATTACAAGAAACAAATCATACTATGTCAACATTGTGCAAATGATTTAACAGAAGACATAATGATACTGAGCAGAGGAGAGATCAGGAGCTACATGCAAGAGAACATCAGTTGCTCAGGGTAGTATGAGATAATTTACCTTCTAAACGATAACGTTCGTCACTGATACCTTCAGCATAACCTTCATCCAACAGGTCCTGCAGAGACATTGGAAAAGAGAGTTAGGCCTCTTTAAAAGAAAAAGACTGTAAGAATATGACATGACACTTCTCAGACAAGCAATGACAGTATTTTAGACAAAAAATGCATTTTTGTGCAATTTGTATTATCTGATTTTTGACAATCAATCTTTTAAAATGCTACTATGAGTTTAAGTAGCAAATTACAACCTTCAATTTACAGTCAAATGACTCAATAAAAATTACAAGAAACAAATCATACTATGTCAACATTGTGCAAATGATTTAACAGAAGACATAATGATACTGAGCAGAGGAGAGATCAGGAGCTACATGCAAGAGAACATCAGTTGCTCAGGGTAGTATGAGATAATTTACCTTCTAAACGATAACGTTCGTCACTGATACCTTCAGCATAACCTTCATCCAACAGGTCCTGCAGAGACATTGGAAAAGAGAGTTAGGCCTCTTTAAAAGAAAAAGACTGTAAGAATATGACATGACACTTCTCAGACAAGCAATGACAGTATTTTAGACAAAAAATGAATTATGTGTAATGTATAAAATATGAAAAATGAGTAATGTATTACAAAGACAGGAAATTACAGTGAAAAGGGTGAATTTGATGAGGAAACAATGCAGGCTGGGTAGAAACTTGCTTCCCCTACTTGAGCACCTCACAATGGGTGTGAACATCTCCAAAGACTAGATGAATGACATTATAGAGTAATTGAAAATCCTAAAGAGTAATAGATAAAATTGACACCATTCTGTCTACACATCCCATAACAGACAATATAAGCAGGTGTGGATACTGGAAGTGTCTCATCTAAGATATTAAACCATGCTACACGTCTATAACACTTCTGTCAAGTTCCAAACCAACCATCAGTCTAGAAGAAGACTATTGTCTCAACACACCTGCTACCTTTGTCTAATTTCAACACTCCAGCTGTCTGCATACTAACAATTCATTTCTCTGGCCCAAAGACCAGCCTCCGCTGAAGCTCTGCAGCTGCGTGTGTGTACATGCTGCTTCTGCCAATGAGGAGCTGCTTTGTCTTCATCCACATTAGACAGGCGCACTAAATGTCTTGCTGTAGTGCCTCAAGCCATACACTGGCCGCTAGAGACACAAAGCCGCGCACACAAACACACACGTTCACCATAATGCTCAAGAGGTTAGCCGACAGCATGTGAGGGGAACACGCTAATTATGCGTTGTCTGGATGATGGATGGGCTGCATTTTAAATATGAGTTCTTCTCAGTTGGTTGAAATGAGAATCGGTCAGCAGAAATTCTTCTTCTTTTATTTATTTATTTTTTGTTCTCTCTATCATTCAAGGTCAAGTTTGGCTAAAGCACTACTTGGCCCTTTCAAATGAGTGTGTTGTGTTTGAGAGCGTGAATACGTGCCTATGTGTTGTTGCGCGGGACATTGAGGGCTGTGAGAAATTCACTAATCCCTGAACTTCACCTCTAAGTGGCGTTTAGCACAATCACTGTGGCGTCTGTCCGCCCCTCTCAGTCACTCTTAAAAAGCTCTATAGAGTCCCACCCACCCCCATATCTTAAAGCCCCTTTTCTTGCATCTTTGCTCCACCACAGTGCAATATATGTGAAAATGTCTCACACAGCCCTAACAATAACAATAAACATTTTTAGTTAAATATTGCCTTTCACAAACCCAAGAATGTCTCACAATGTATTAAACAGAAACTAAATAAATAAATACAAAATAAATACTAAACTGAATAAAATAAAATACTAATATACATTACAAATATATAAGACTATTTTATATAAGCCTATTTATGGTAAATGCCCATGTTACCTTTTACTAATGAAATCCAGCCATGTTCCAAACAGGAGTGCTAAGCAACATAAACTACATAACACATGGAGAAACTGCATTGCAGTGACCTTGACCTCTGAGACGGTCCTTCTTTTTTTTAATTGCATGTTTTTGTACACTTTCCAGATAACATCAGAGGCTAATTGGCTGTGGAGAGTGTAATCAATAGAGGCTGATCTCTCTTCAGTGGTGTAATGAGAGGCTGAAGAGGGATCTGTACACACTCAGCGTGTGTGAGGGTGACCATGTGCTTCAGGTCAAGTGCCATTTATAGCGCTGAGAAAAAAACGGGACAGAGTTTGCGTGCGAAGAGTAAGAGAGAAGGATAGGGGCTTTGATTAAAATATTATTAATTTCACAGATGAAGTCTTGTGAGCAACATTTTAAACACAGAATAAAACACATCTGAGAGAACTTGCGTCCTGTGACTAACTCCTGGTATGAACACATTCATGCCCATATTTGTTACTGGCTTGTGTGTATAAATGTTTATAACTGATGGAACAATTTCTGCTGTGGGTCTTTTGCCTCAGCAGCATCATGAAAAGGCCTGTGAAACATAAACAAGGGCTTCACTCAATCTGTGCCAGCAACCAGAAACTCTTTCCCAGACACCATGTTTCACACTCTGTGGAAAACCAACCAGATATTTCTGTTTTAACGCAAGCCAAAACAGGAAAGAAGAGAAGTTTGAGTACTTTACTACAAATGGATGCCCACAGAACCCAGTGCAACATAACTGATTTGCCAAAACACATAAACACATACATCAAGCACTCCAGTGCTATGTTTTTGTTGGCCCTGTGATCAGTGGAAGTAGCCTAAATGAATCTTTCAATATGAAAGGACAAATACAAGAGTTAATTAAAAACAAACTAAGAGCAGGAAAGAGACACAGAGTAAGGACTTTTCACAAAGGATGCTTTTTGTTGGTCTAAGTGGTAGACAGACTTCCATATTGTGCCACTGTGATGAAAATATTTTTTAAAGTATTGGGCTAATGGGTTAATCTGATTTATCTAGGAGCTGGATCATTATCTTGTGTGCACCGAGTATGCATATTAGTGGCGGCTCGTAGGTTTTAAAATAGAGGCGGCACACTTATTGTATTGGTCTGGGATCCCTGCCGATTATTATTATTATTATTATTTGCTTAACCACATTAAATTGGCTTTTTGGTTGCTTTTAGTCAGAAAACGTAAAGAAAACGACACACATACAGCAAGATAATATAATTTCACTTACCTGGACTATCACTTGAAGCAAACATCCATCCCTTCTTAAAAGTCTGTGATAAAAGAGAGCTGCCTGTTGCGCCATTTAATTAAGCCGACTGCTGTAGCCTATATCCAGCTTAGGCTGTTTTCCCTTTTTTTTTAATTTGTATATATACTGTTTGAATGACAGCTTGGTAAATCTGTTGGCAATCAAATATTCAATATCGCTACTCATCATAAGTACTTAGTACATTATCAGCGCAGCAGCAGATGTTAAAACTAATATCAAGTAATTTACGTCTCTGTGATGATTGGTTGATATCAGAAGGGAGGCTAGCCTCCCTTACGAGGTTTCTTTTCTCAACACTCCTCAGCGCTGAAAGTGAACACTCGATGGTGATTGGCTCATTTTTTTTACCAACGAAGGCACGAGAGCTCAGTCGTTACCGTTACATTAGCAGATTCGGCACATTCGCGATAGAAAAGCGGTGCTTTCACATTATGGTATTACAACTGTGAAATTACAAACAAAATATACACATTCTGAGACATGAACTGAAATGAATTGTGAATTTTATTAACATTAAATCGTCCTCCTCCCATTTTCACCTCAAAATTATGGGGAAGCTGTGCCTCCCCTGCTTCCCCCGATGAGCCGCCACTGATGCATATGCCTAATGCTATAGAGTTAAAGCTTTTCTAAACAACTCTTTTCATTATAAAGCCCATTTTAAAGATTTGTCCTTTTGTCCAAGTCTGTGGTGCCTGTCTAGATTAGGGGTCTCCAACTACTGTACCGCAGGCCAAACAGTATCATACAACTTCTCAGATGTTAATAGTTTATCCTTAAACCATGCCTGTAAATCAATTTCACTTAAGTTTGGCCTTTAATGTTATACCATATAGTCTAATATAAGCTACATACTTTTCCAAATGGCTTATTACAGGCCTAAAATATAATAACTTTTCTATAGGACTATCACATCCCATTGATCTAAAAATGTGTAAATAAATGCCAGTTCTGGATGAATTAGTGCTCATTAAATAAATAAATAAATAAATACACAAGCAGCAGTTCTGGAGGAAATATAGCTAAATAAATACATAATTTAACTACTTTCTGTTTAAACTGTTCAATTACTCAACGACAGAAAACACCACCTGGCTTTAGTATAGTGCACACCATGAGTTGGAGACGCTTGGTCTAGCTGTTTTTAACGAATAACCACGTCTTGAAGATAATGATTTGTGTGCAGAATGCAAGAGCACAGATTAGATGTTGGTTCTTCCCAGTTTAAACCTGGAAACACATTCAAACGCATTGCCAAGTGTCTGCAAGTGTGTATAAGGGTCAACCGCTCATTAATATGTAAGCACTATGAAAAAAAAAATGCACAGAGAAAAATGCAAAGAGAAAGACAGGGGATTTCTCAACCAGGTTAAGTTTGAGGATGTGTGTCTAAATTAAATTAGCCAACACATATGAATGTGGCCTTATTCATTTTGTCATTAGGTTACGTGCGTATCTGTATCTGTACGTTTGAATGTATGTGGGTAAGGGAGTGTGTGATTGTGTGTGTGTTGTGGAAAGTCCCACATAACTCTGAGTCTGTATTTTCTGTCTGCTCGCCACGCCACAAGGGCTGATGGACAATTTACGCAGCTGATGACAGTTCTGCATGATCACGGGCCAGACACACACACACGCACACACACATAAAACACACACACACATAAAACACACAGACACGATCAGTCGCCAAGCCTTCACTAGGCCACAGCCTTGGAACGTCATCAAACCCAGGAAAGCCTAATTAAGACTGTCGTGTCTCTCTGTCGCCTTCTCACTCCTTCTCTGTCACCTTCGGATTTCACACTTGCAGACCACAGTCCTAATCATATTAAAACAGGGAATGAAAGATGGAGGGTTTCAGCGCTGTGAACCGCAGCCAACCAGAACCACTCCATTTTTAAGACAATTTAAGCCTTCACAAAGACACATACACCTACAGGTGCCATATTTCACCAGCGAGACAATCAACTACGAACATATAGTCACGAGTGTAGACAGAAAAAGACTTGCAACTGAATTCCTGTTTAATCTTGCGTGTCTGTTATCTTGCTTAAGCGTATACGGTTACATGTGCAGGATCTCAGGAGAGGGGATGTATATGCTAGCACGTCAAAACCGGTCCTCGCTAGCTACAGGGCCAATCCAAAAATGACTCCCTACACTCCCCCCAGTACCCTACATACTTTGCTACATGTGAGGATGAAAGAGTCCGGAGTGCAGTGACCTACATAAGCACCTCATACTTTATAATGAGCAGAACAGGCAACCCAGACAACCTGAACTACTGACT